CAATGTTTAAAACAACAACTAAAAACTTAAAGGGAAAGCGTAAATAAGATGAGAGTAAAGTGTCTAAAGTTGAAAATGATTACTTGAGGATGATGAATGAAGAGAGGGAGATGCTGTATTTATAGGGAGCTTCAAGAAGGTTGAGACTTTCATGGAGAGGCATCCCTTTAAAATATCTTTTAGTTGGTTTGTTGTTAAACTAGTCATCATCAATGCGTGGAAAACACGTGGAAGGGCTGGGGGAAGCTTCAAAACACACCAAAACTTGTGTTTTACATTAAGGGCATTCTCGAAATTAGGCAAGGCGTCACACGCCTTGCTTGGACTTTTTCTGCACAAAATTGTAATTTCCGTTAGACATCAACTCTAAAGTATGTAAAAATGTCCTATATGCATGTACAACCTAAGATAACTCCAAATGAAAGGTTTTGGACACTAAAATAAGCTTAAAACACGGTTTCTAAGTGTAAAACGATAGAAAACAGCACCTAACTAGTTCCTTTTTACCCTTGTAAACAAGGGAAATCAAGGTGGTGCGGTTGAGTGATCGACGTTCAACACTCCCATAGCAGCCTCAACATTAGCTAACCGAGCAGACTCGCAGCCAAGGGCATCAATCGCTATGCCTTCTTCCTCCCGAACCTTGGCAACCTCAAACTCTACCAAGGCATGCCCTCCCTCAGCCTGGGCTACCTTAGCTCCAATTCGTCTGCTCTCTTAGCATTAGACTCGGCCTTGGCCTTAGCTACCCTCAACTCCTGCTTAAGCCTTACGACTTGGGTTTCGACGAATGCTACCCACCACTGAGTGTGGTCCAAGTCGATCCATAAAGTGGTTACTCTCTCTTTCGCCTTCGCGGCATCTACCTGCGCCGACGAGCGCTCCATTAGCAGCCTCACCGCCTCCTCATGAGTGACGATAGATTGACTTGCAGCTGCCATCTAAGCGTGTAACCCCACCAACTCGACTCGATGTCTCTGAACTCACTTTTTCTGGGCCATCAACTCATATAAAAAGGCCAACAACAAAGAGTGAAAACGTCCAGCCTGCTGATATGGGATAGAAAGAGTCAAATAGCGAAAATAGGGAACATTAAGGAAAGAAATACCACGATGCTAGACAAAGGAAAAACATGGGAAAACTTACTGCGACTGCCTCAAAGGCTTTATCGTAAACCTCTTCTAAGAAGTGGAACACCCCGTGAACCTGCTCGTGGCTGAAAAGTCTCCTAACATGCCAACCGACCCCTGATCTCCCCCATATGTACCTTTGGGGATCAAGGTCAAAAGCATTAGAGAGGAGGTTGAAGCAGAAGTCAAATGAGTTTATCTCTGATCCCTAAGTCTGAAGAGATGATGCGCTCAAATGAGCAGCTTCGCTACAACCTCATGAGTGGCTCCTCATTCTGCCTCCTCAACCTCCACGATAGAACCCCTTCAAGTGGAAATCGACGCACCCTCACTGTCTCCCTCAAGCTCAGTCGTACAAGTGAGGGGGGATCGTGGAGAATGAGAACACCCTCACAGTGGGGACAAGAGAAAGCCTCTCTATCACCATGAGGTATCACCTCCTCCAGACGAACCTAAGGATAGCAGCTGACCCAGTCAGTAAGAGAGGAATCGATCTTCTCATCTTTCGTGGGAAGCCGCATGAGTACGTAGTCAGGGATCCGGTTGATGAAAAATGAGCCACATATGAATGGCCCTCAATGGAAGAAGGGTTGTTTCTCCCTGAACCAACCATAGAAAACCTCTAATGGACAGAAAAGGAGTATTTGGAAAAAAAAATGGGAATGAGCGAACAAAGGTAGAAAATAGAAGCCCCTAGGTGATAGAACAGAGTTTTAAATCTTCTCAAGAGTCGCTCCAAATCACAATACCCACGAAAAATCGTAACCGTCGCAGGCCACCACTCCAATGGGTGCCAGGAGGACGCAATGGCCCGCGAGACGATGGGGAGCACGTGTCCCCTCATCAATGCGGTGATATGAGCGAACGGCTCCCACGACACTTCTAATCCAACACGTAGGGTCCCATCGAAGATTTGAAAAAAGATTACCCTAGCCCACACCCAAATTTGACTTATGCATGCATCCACCTACATCAATGCTTCTGGATCTGGCGCGCTCGGTTAAGGCCAACCAAATCCGGAAGAGGGCTAACTGTTGAGGGAATTCCGAGCAGGTGGCATGTCGAGTCCTAAGGCGGGATAGCTGGACAAGGGTCCGCGAGCAATTGGAAATGTACACTAAGGACTTGTATGGGTGTGCCACTACGAGGATAGTACGGGAGGCGTGCCACAGATTGTGTGCCACATAGGGGGACAGACTGACAGTGGTATTACCACCACCAAGCGTCAGAGATGTCCGCCCCTACCCGTCAGAATTCTATATAGCAAGAAGTGCCCCTACGCCTCAAACTGTCATCCTTCCCATCGGTCGCGAGCGCCTATAAAAGGGAATGACCCCCACCACTACCAAGTAAGTGAAAAATCTTTTACTGAATTAATAAGGTGTTTATTCCTACTTTCTACTCCATTTGCTAACTTGATCATCAGAGTTTCTTAAGGAGACACTGCACAGGTGTCGAGATTTGTAGTTGCAAGCTCATTTGTTCCTCGTCGACACCTTGTTCCTAGGAACACGTGGACCTCTCCAGAACTCGCCATCAACAACTAGTATACCCCTTTCTTTTTCTAGCTAATTACAAATACATTATTCTGCTAATCCTTTTTTTAAGTACAATAATAATAGTATATTTTATTTTATTACTATATTATTGATAATAAATATTTTTCTTTTATAACAATTTTAATATTAATAAATAATTAATAATTAAAATAAAATTACATCAACTAAAATACGTTTTATTATAACAACCATCATTTGTCCCCAAGGGATAGCTTGGGTGGCTTGGAGCTTCAAGGAATATATTAAAGTAGATCCTACCATTTGAAAAGAATAATTCTCATTCCTATGAAGTAAACATAACTTTAGGGACCGTTTAGTTGAAGGTTTCAATAAGTAGCTTGGGATTAAGATGTCTAAAAATCAAAGATGACTGTATTTGGTTGTATATATGTCTAGAATTAATATGTCTGAGAATAAATTATATATATGTTTAGTTTATCTGATTACTTTATAAATATGCATAACTGTAAACATTGATTAATAACTAATCAAATTTAATTAAAAATTAAATAATACAAATTAAATTATTTTTTAATTAATTATTTTATATTAGCATTCTAAATTGTAAATTGACAATTTAGCACAATGATCAATTAAATAATTAATAGTAAATTTTATTTAACTAAAATTCAATATATACATATTTCGCAAAATGATAACCGTGTATAAAACTTTAAAATTAATCAAAATTAACTTCCAATAATTAATTTACATTAGTTTTATTTTTATTAAGTTAAAATATTAATCATTTTAAGCAATTATGTTCTAATTTAAGCTTTACTAATGAGTAAATATATTATAAATAATATATCTAAATTTATGTTGTTGATTTTATTTAATAATCAATCTTAATAATTATCATAAAAGAAATGTGTTTAAAAAATTAATCATTTTCTTCTATTTAATTGCATCAATTTATTACGTTTTTTTTTTAAACAGGGAAGTATATACTTCAATAAATTAATTTATCACAATAGATTAATTAATTTAGTATATTATTAAAAATTTAATGTTGTTTTATTAATTATAAATTTAATTTAAATATTTAAATAAATTAAATTAAATAACATTGAAAAGAAAACAACTGGTTGAAAAAAAACAAGGAGAGAGGTATGAAACAAAACTCATGGACAAACCCACGAAAATGAGAGGATAAAGAAAATCATTGTCCATGGTAAGTGAAGAAGCTATTCCCAAGTAAAGTTTTAAAATCTGTGTAACAAAACTTACCCACGTCCATTCCCACTCGTAAACCCTCCAAACAAACGGCCTCTAACCGTTTGGTTTATGTTCGACATCTCCAGATAGTCACGTTTGTTTTGTAGAAAAATTTATAAAGATATCCAGAAATATTTGGATTTTTTTAAAATAATGTGTATTTTCAAACCCATTGGTAAAATAATGTTCTTTTAAAACATATTAAATGTATAATGCATTGGTTGAAACTTATTTCAAAAATAAAACTTTTAAAATTGTTCCACTACTTAGAGACGACCACAAGATGTGGTTTCTTGGTTCCACCACTTAGAGACGACCACAAGATGTAGGTGCCAAGTTTGTTTTGCAGTAGTTGTTCTGTTAAATTTATAGAATGTTCAAAAAATACTCTTACGAATATTTATATAATATATACATTCATTTAATATAATTGATTTATTTTAATTAATTTAGTATTTTATTTTTTTTAATGTTATTTTGTAGAACAAATTAATTCATAATAAATATTATTAATAATAAAATTGCTTTAAAGTATTAAAATTAAATGAAATGCAAAAATGTAACGATTAGATGCCCGTGACAAGAAATCTTGAAAACTACCCCTATTTTAAAAGGCATCCAAAAGTCAGAAAATTACCCCTATTTTAAAAGGCATCCAAAAGTCATAAGATGTCCATGAGGGCATCCTAAGATATCCAAGCATCCTACATCCCACAAAACAAACGTGGAAAGTATTTTTGTTTATTCCGTTCTTTCTATTAATTTAAAGATAAAAGGCATTAATTATTATATATGAACCATAAATTTAAGAAAACACAAAACATCAAAAAGCAGCAAAATACTTCAAAAAAAAGGCTAATCAAATTTAAAATTACAATTTTTGTTTTTAGAACATCGAAGTATGGGAGTGTATAAAGTTCATGAGCTGCAGCACATCATGGATACAAGAAACAAAAAGCTTTAACTAAGACATGTCCAAAAATAAAAATAAAAATAAAAATTAACTTCGATCCCCAAGCACCTCCATAGTTGTAATCAAAAGTAATTTAAAATTCTCAAGTTGACAATATAAATGCCAAAGGGCGGATGCAACTAATAAAAGAATTAAATTCTCTTGAATTTCACCAACTAGAGAGTGAACGAAAATGATCTAAGTTTACTGTTCAACAGTAATATATTCAGCGTCTACAGCCTCAAAAATATTGTTTTGTTGACGGAAAATGAGTTAAAAGAAATGAGAGTCGTAAAACAAGACCCAGCCATTTCTGCGGCGAATACTGTCATTAAAATTTTCAGAAATATATGAACTTAGTTTCCACTCTTCTGTCATTAATGAATTCATAAATCCTGTCTCTGATGTCTCCGATGTTTTACTCTGATTTGTGCTTTGATGATCGGCTCGGGCGAGATGTCCTTGACACGCTTGTAAGCCTTCCCACGAATTTCAGAATCTCGTCAATTATGATCACGGGCAATGAGACAGCCAGAACCAAGAGCCATTCGTTCAAGGAAAGCGGGACAATGCCGAATATTTGAGCGAGGAATGGCACATACAGAATCAAGAAATGCAAGCCGAATGAAACAGACATGGCGAGAAGGAGCCACGGGTTGACCCAAGGGGGCATCGTCAACAAGCTTCCATCCTCAGAGAGGGCATTGAGGGAATTGAACATCTCAATGGCCACCAGGACAGAGAGTGAGAGGGTCGAAGCCTTGATCTTGCCAGAATGGAAGTACTCACAAGGATCTGTATCGAAGTTAAAGACTTGAACCCCAGCCGTGAAGGGCGACACGGAAAACCCGTCCCAAGACGGGCACTGGCCCCAGTTGGCGAGTTGAGAATAAGAGACTAGACTGTGGCCATCCCCAGACAGGTCGATGCCCAAGAATGAAGCATGTGTATACCAAATAATGAATACTCCTACAGTTGCTATCCCTACGTAAAGTCCAATCACCTGTACATCATCAAGTTGTTAAGAATTTAGAAGTTTCATTAGTGAAGAAGCTATGGGCCACATGAAAAAACGGTGGTTAGTTAAAAGGAAGCAGATGTGAGTACCAAATAGCGGAACAAAATCCAAGCCGTGATCAACGAGTCGTCACTTTTTCTTGGCGGTTTCTTCATTATATCCGTATCGGGTGGATTAAATCCCAATGCAGTCGCTGGTGGTCCATCTGTAACAAGATTAACCCAGAGAAGTTGAACAGGGATCATCCCTTCGGGAATACCCAGTGCTGCTGTCAAAAATATCGAGGCGACCTCACCGATATTTGAGGATATCATGTACCTACAACCATTTTTGGCATTTGAAACCGTTCGTAAACATTAAGGGCATGTTTGGAAGGGACCAAAATCACTTTTGCTATCATTTTAAAACATTAGTGCACCTAAAGTAATTTTGGCATCAAAATATTCCAACATCATTTAGTAAAGAGTGATATTTTACTTTTCAATACAGAAGGGATTTTAGAAAACGGCAACCCAAATCACTTTTACTATTTTCTAAAATCATTAGTATATCATTGTAAAACATTAGTGCACGTAAAGTGATTTTGGCATCAAAATATTCCAACATTATTTTACTTTTAATACACAAGTGATTTTAGAAAACGGTAACCCAAATCACTCCCAAACACGTCATAAATCGTATGAAAAAATACTACAGTCAAATGGGCTAAATGCGGAAGTAACTTGAAACTATTTAACAAAATAATGCGGCTCTAATTGATAACATGTATAGCTCAAGATATTGGATGGCAATAACACCAATGACCAACAACTAATTGCATACTATAATATAGTAAAACGAAAATGGATGAACGATTGCCCAAGTGAAAAAAAAAAAACCTGATAAAAGCCTTCATATTGTTGTAAATGGATCTGCCTTCACCAACTGCTGCAACTATTGTACTAAAATTGTCATCCGCAAGAACCATGTCGGAGGCTTCCTTTGCAACCTGGAAAAATAAATTCAATATGTGCTGAATGTTAAAAAACAAACGGAAACCGATTTAGATATAACCAGTGGTGATCTAAAATTAAAAACATGGATCATGGGATGTAACGAACTCTCAAAACTGATTGAGAAAATAAATTACTTGATAGTTTACTCCAGTGGTGATCTAAAATTAAAAACATGGATCATGGGATGTAACGAACTCTCAAAACTGATTGAGAAAATAAATTACTTGATAGTTTACTCCGTTACCACGAAAAGCATAAACTGAGGTCAATTTGTATATGCCTCTGCTTTTGAAAAATCCTAAATGGAAAAAAGTATGAATAACTTCAAATTCTGTTTAGCGGAAAGAGAACATCGAAGTAAATACCTCCGTCCCAGCAATGCCCATCGCAATCCCGATATCAGCCAACTTCAAGGCAGGTGCATCATTGACTCCATCTCCAGTCATTGCAACAACTTCACCATCTTCTTTAAGCAATCTCACTATCTCTTGTTTATGTCTCGGTTCAGCCCTAGAGAAAAGAATTCCTCCATCTTGTCTTAAATGAAGTTTTTGACTCTCCCGATTCATTTCCATGAATTCTTTTCCAGTTAAACTTTTGAAATTTATGGCTTCATGTCGTCCAAATACACCTATTTCACGACATATAGCTTCAGCTGTATTCTTGTTGTCCCCTGTGATAACCATGACACGAATACCAGCAGCTTTACAGTCTTTAATTGCTTGATGAACCTCTTTTCGAGGAGGATCCTATAAAAATAAATGGTGATGTGAACTCAAGTCAATTTATAGAAAAAATAGGAAAATAAAATCATCATTTTGCTTACAATTACAGAACTTTAAAATAAGTAAATAAGAAGATGAAGAATACGCTGAGTCACTCACCCTTAACCCAACAAAGCCAACAAAAATAAGATTACTTTCAATTGAAGCGTATTTGGATGGGTCAAGTAAAAGCTGATGTGCTGGATGTTCTTCGTCGCCATTATTATAATTGGAAAATTCTGGGAGGTCTTCCTTGTATGCAAAACCTAAACACCTTAATGCACTTGATGACATCTCATGCAAACTATCTAAGAGGTATCTCTTTGAGTCTGAGTCCAAATTTACAATAGTGCCGTCAAGCAGTTGAATAAACGAACTCCGTTCCAACAGATTTTCAACAGCACCCTGCCACAGTCAAAGCAGGCATCTTAACCAATGACAATTAACATGCCACAAAAAGAAGAAAGATGGGGGGATAAAATGAAGGCAGTGAAGAAAGTAATAAGAAAGAAACAATTACACACAATAACTTAACAATACAGAGATCAACTACCAAAAACACAAAGGTGAGAGACTAAAATCAGAGGGTTACCGAGCGTTACTTAACCATGCCAATGTTTTCTCTGATGAGCTACTATATGAAAAGTTTTTAAAATGATCCAGTGAAAAGTAAAGTAATGTATAGGTGGAAACAGCACATTAACATAGAAAAGAAAAATTAAAAATTAAAAATCATCAAAATCATATAGAAATGTAACACTAAAAATAAAATTCATTACCAACTAGGACATAAATGATGAGATGATCAGAATATACCTTCACGAGTAATGACTTCTTTCCGGAGCTAGAATTTGTAATAACTCCCATGGATTTACGGTCTCGGTCAAACTCTAGAGTTGCAATACGCTGCTCCATGTTATTCCAAACTTGGCAGCATTCTAGTTAATCATATTATCATGTAAAAAACACGTCAGTATGGAGATGCATAAGAAAGAAAACTAGACAATGATAACATTCAAGTACTTACGCAGGACATCCCCATTAAAGGAAGCTGAACTCGAGTTAAGTCCATCAGGAAGGCCCATCTTTTCCACAAGAACCTGAAGATGCAGATAAAATGCATCAGTACAAAAGCTACATAGAATCTGCAACAGTTATTTGTTAGCATCAGCCCGTGCCTTCATGCATCATTACTAAGTATCTCAATGGTGTTCCTCCTTACTTAAATCAACAGGCATATCAATAAAACAACTTACAGAAGCATGATCATAAATGTTAAGCATTCCGTGCACTACACAACAACCTCCCCTTTACTATTTATATGAAAAGAAATCTGTCAGTGGTTACTTGCAGAAAACTTAAACCTTCAAAGTTATTTCAGATTTTGTCTCTGGTCATGAGTTTAGTCCATTTGTCCAATCAGGCAGTTTATTCAGTTCTAGAAGTAAAAACTTTTAAGCTTTCAAGGTCATGCAAGCCTAGTTACTCTTAGATAGCATCCTATAGAATACTGTAAGAAAATCCTAAATAACATCCAGGAGCTGGTCTTTGATTAACAGGACTGCTGTAAGAATTAAGAGAGACAACTGACTGAGGGATGGGATGTAAAATCATTGCATTAAAAAAGATATCATGAGATTATTTGGTCACACCTTCAATGCTGCTTCAGTAGGCATTCCATTTGCAACAAAATGATGGCCAGATTTTTCAACACCTGCATCATTACAGACAGCAGCAATCTTTGCCAACGTTTGCAGATTGTCATCCAGTTGACCTCCAAGCCATCCAATTATTTTTCCATCTGAAGGATCATACGTAGTCCCTTCCACATCAAACGCTCGCAGAACACCAACACGAGAACCAAGTGCCAAAATTTTCGCTACAGCCATCTGATTAGTTGTTAGAGTACCCGTCTTATCAGAACATATCACAGTTGTACAACCAAGAGTTTCAACACTGGGCAGCTTCCGAACAAGGGCATTCTTTTGAGCCATCTTCCGAGTGCCAAGTGCCAAGCATGTAGTTATGACTGCAGGCAAACCTTCTGGAATTGCAGCTACAGCCAACGCCACAGCGATCTCAAAGTAATATGTACATTTCTCAAATGAGAACTTGAAATTTGCTGGCCACCCATCAACATACTCCCAAGTGAGGAAATATTTGACATTAATAAGCCAAACTAGAGCACAAATCACTCCAATTATTGCTGTTAAAAGCTCTCCAAACTCATTCAACTTTTTCTTCAATGGTGTATCATCTTCACTCTGAGAAGCTTCTTGTATCTGAGAATGCACCTTTCCTAGTTCAGTGTTCATCCCTATCTGGGTAACAAGGCAAATACAATTTCCATTGACAACGGTTGTCCCAGCAAAAACCATGCACTTCTTCCCTTGTATATCTGTATCTTCTGGCACAGCCTTAGCAGTCTTGCTCACTGCTTCACTCTCACCTGTCAAGGATCCCTGCTCGACCCGAAAAGTCGAGCTGATTAAACGCATTACTCGCAAGTCAGCAGGCACTTTATCCCCAACTCTAAGTTCTACTATGTCACCTGGAACAAGATCCTTTGCAAGAATTGAAGCTCGTTTACCGTTTCGTATTACTGAAGCCTGTTCAGACTGAATTTCTTTAAGGGCTTCCAATGCTTTCTCAGCATTGTTCTCTTGCCAAATGCCAACAATGGCATTGACAATCAATATCAAGAAAATAACTAGAGGCTCCACAAATGCGGTGATCTCCATCTCACCTCCTTCCTCGCCATCATACCACGCAAGAACAAAAGATACAACTGCTGCAGCTAATAGAATCCTAACTAGTGTGTCATTAAATTGTTCCAAAATCAGTTTCAAGATTGAAGTACCTTCATGCTTCTCCAACTCATTGAAACCATAGATCTTTCTCTGTTTTTCAACATCATCAGAAGATAATCCTAGATCAGGGTTCACTTGATACTTCTCTGCGCATTCTCGAACATCCTTTGCCCATGCAGGGAACGTTTCTTTATTCGAGGAGGTAGCAGAAAAAATTTCCTTCTTCCCATAGTCTTGCCCGCCTCTACCCATTTAGATTTACGGCAAACAGTTCAGACGGATAAGAAAACTGAATAAAAAATCAATTTTGCCTGCATATTAGGGGAAGACGAGAACAAGTCAGTCAATCTAACGAATAACAACCAAAAACGAACTAAATGAGAAATCAGTTGCAAAAATACAAAAATCAGACACCTGACTCTCAGTTTAATCCAGTAATAATTCAGGAAAGGCGACGATAATCAACACGAACATACACAAACACAAAAATTTAAAAGAAAGAAAGAAAAACCACTCACTTCATACATCCTACTCAAGCTCAACAGAAGAGATAAACAAATCATTCCAATTCAAACAAAGTTAAAGCCGTTATTCCTCAGATCCGTAAGAAACTACAATATAATCTCCTCTCCAAACTTCCTCGACACGAAAACAGGATCAAAACATGGAATCGAAGAGACAAAACAAAAAAACAAAATCAAAAAATCAAATATCAAAACCCAACACAAACATTTCTCGCATAATCACATAACATAGGTACCAGGAATTCGTGGATCCTTCACGCCGGAGGGCTTCGATTCTCTCTCTAAACTGGAGTCGACTGAAAATGAGAGAGAGAGAGAGAGAGCGGAGAATCAAACCAATGTGACGCTTCCAGTGACGACGGACTGGACAACAAGGAACCATTGAATTGATTATAGGTTAAATAAAGGAGCGATTCAACCGCATGATCTGCTGCATCCGGTACCACGGACCGCCGATCAGCATCCTATGAGATTCCGCCACGTGGTGGCATCTCGTGGCGAGACGAGTGGTGGGTGGTGAAGGTGTATGGTAAAGGAAAGTGGGGCCCACGTGGAATTCGCATTATCTTGTTAAAATAAGAGAAGCCACGAAGCTTCGCAGTCGTTTCTGCGGAATACCAAACTTGGGATTTGGAAAAGGAACTTTGCTGAAATACCCTTCTACTTTGGCTATATTTACATCGAGCCCTTCGGTTCGTTGGAGAACTTTGCGTCATCAATTTGTTGTTTCGTTTGAATTTAACCTGGATGATGAGATGAGACCCATTTCGAAATTTGTTATTTAAAATAAAATACCATAATTCTATTTCTTAATCCTAAAAATAATTAGATTTTTTCCCTGTGGAAATTTTGAGTTTTTATTATTAAAGTATTATTTGAAAACGGTTTTTTTATTCTATGACAAAATCATCGTGACACAAGATCTAGCATTTTAAAATTTTAAGATTCATTATTTTTAATTAAAAAAACTCAAATCCATCCCATTTAATAAATGTAGGGCGTGAATTTTAACCACGTTAGTGAGACCTTATATCCTCATATGGTTAGGTAAATATGTTATTAATATTAATAACATTTGGGAACCAGAACTTAGAAAACTAATTTTCTAGATTGGCTTTGTTATTTAGCTACCACGGATGTTTAGGGTTTGTTTTATTTCTTTTTTCAAAAAAAAATAAACTTTTTTAAGATTAATAACAATTATTTTATTATATTTTGAGGTCAAAATTGTTTTAAGGCATATTTGAAAATGATTTTGGCATGTAAGAGTAATAACAATTATTTTTTTATAAAATAAGTGTGTGGATTAACTTCTTAATTGATTTTGGAGGTCAAAATTGTTTTAAAGGCGTGTTTGGGAATTATTTTGTCATGACTAGAATCACTCCACTAATGTCAAGATTACTTGCATTCTTAAATAGACATGTTTGGCAATGATTCAGGAAAAATCCAAAACTACTTTAACGTGTGTTTGGGAACTGATATCATTTGTCATTCTCAAAATCAATTCCCTTTGGAGTCGTTTGATTGAAGGTTTCAAAAAGATAGCGTGGATTAAGTTGTCTGGTAATCAAAGATAACTGTGGTAATCAAAGATAACTGTGTTTTGTTGTATATATCTTGAGATTAAGATGCCTGAGATTGAGATATCTGAAAATAAATTATATATATGTTTATTTTCTGTGATTACTTTAGAAATATGTCTTTTATGTCATTGTAAATATTGATTAATAACTAATCAAATTTAATTAAAAATAAATTATATAAATTTATAATTTTCAGTTATAAATTATTTTATATTAGCATTCTAAATTTTAAATTGATGATTTAGCTATGTTGACAATTTAGCACAATGATCAATTGAACAATTAATAGTAAAGGTTATTTATCTAAAATCCAATATATACATATTTAGCAAAATGATATATGTGTATAAAGCTTTAGAATTAATCAAAATTAATTTACATTAATTAATATATATATTTATTAAGTTAAAATATTAAAATTATTTTAAGCAATTATGTTTTAATTTAGGCTTCACTTATAAGTAAATATCTTATAAACAATATATCTAAATTTATTTGTTGATTTTATTTAACCATCCATCTTAATAATTGTCATAAAAGAAACTTGTTTAACAAAATTAATTATTTTGATTCTATGATTGCATCAATTTATTACATTTTTTTAAAAAAATTAAGAATATACTTTAATAAATTTATTACAATAGAATAATTAATTTATATAAATTTTTAATGTTGTTTTTATTAATTATAAATATAATTTAAATATTTTAACTAATTTTAATTAGTTTATGTTAATAAAATAAAATAAATAAATACATGTTAGAAAATAATTTATTAAAAATGAGAGAGATAAAAACCTAACACAAAATTCATGACATCATGAAAATGCGAGGGCAAAGAAAGCCCTTGTTCCATGAGAATAAATAATGTAATAAACTAGTCTTCAAACAAACAAGGGCTTTCCTTACCCCTGTGCATTCCCGCCGACTAGACCCCCAACTAAACGGCCCCTTTATGTTTAACAAATTTAAAAATTGATTTTAGAAAAGTTTAAAATCACTTTAAATTAATTTTTAAGGTATCATATATTCAATTTTGAAAAATCAATTATAGTTAAATATGTTTTTTGAAAATCACCCATTTTACCATCACTCCCAAATTCTTTGTCAATTACGTGGGGATGGCCCTCTAAGTGATTTTTGATAAAAAAAAGGATAATAATAATAAATTAGTTTTTAAAATGGTTATTGTTTTAAATTTCAAATTGTCTTTCTAAGATACTTTACTTTCACCAAAAAGTTATTTCTACATTTGCTGATGGGGATGGAACTCACAACCTTTAAAACTATGCTAAAGTTAGCCTTGAGATTGACTATTCAACTATATATCATGTTTTTTTGTCATATTTACTTATTAAATAGTGTTAAATAGTCTTTCAAATATGCTCTTAATTTGTGATTTTTGAAATCGAACATTAATCATTTAAAATCAATTTTTTTTACAAAAAGATTTTAAATCACTTTTAAGTGAAAGAAGTGACGCATATAAGTGTAATTGAGACTGTAGATGATCACTTCAACACAACCTTTCACACAAAGTCCCCTTTAATAGAATCTTTTATTAAGTTTGTTGCAAATCTATAATATACATAAGCATCCACATAATGAGGTGAATCTTCATATCTATAATATATAAATGGAGTAATGGAAGAGAATATTTGCTTTCCTATTTCGACCTTACATTATTCTTTTATAAATTTGTACTTTGTCTTTTAAATTTCTTAGGTCGCATGAATCAGTTGATGCTAATGAATGCGACTATTCAAGTCGAGGTGTCTATGGGTGTGATTTGGAGACCATAATGAACAAGTATTTGAAAAGTTCTCCTATTATTTTACGTAGATTTTCAATATTTATACTAATTTTTTTAAAATAATAAATAATACATTTGTGCGTGATATGAAAAAATTTTAGATCTCTTTTGCTAGAATCACTCCTTCTAAAATTATCATCAAGCATACTCTTATTTAAATCTAGAGTGTTTAGTAGCAAAGAAAAATTACTTTTTGAAATAATTAAATTAGTCTAGAATTATTATTATTATTATTATTATTTTTAGCAAAATCACTTTAAAGATGATTATGTAAACGAGTGATTTTGAAGTAACAGACCAAGAATTACTTTAGAATCACGAATGTAACAAACACATAATAATTTTAATTAAAACCACTTTTATAAAAATTAAATAACAAAATTACTTTTTAAAAAGTATTTAAATTTGAAAGTACGTCAAATTCAGTCAATGGTGTGTTACAAATATATCAATTCCGCAAAATAATTATACAATATTAAGCTTTGCTTGTTGATTTCAAAATTAACTTGATTGGAGTGTACCTCATTCAACAATCTAATTATATAATGTAGGCCAACTTCAAAATTTTCAAATTTTATACCCAACTTTTTAATATACTTTCCAGCTATTTTTTCATAATTTCAAAAATAAAAAGATTCTTTTCACTTTCAAATTTATTTGATTTTGATCTTTATAGTTTTCAAATATTATTTTTTATACATAAATTTCTTTTGGTCTATCTTTTTGTGAAGCATTAGTAAAGATGTTTTGCAATATCACATGGATTTGTAATCTAAATTATGTGTACCAAAAATTAAAAAAATGATATTAAAAAATTAGAGATCTTCGCAGTCATATGTATTTATTTAACCAAAAAAATACCATGCAAAAAATTCACTTATTCTGTTTTATTAAATTATTTAATGATCTAAATAAATTTTATTTAATGAATTTTATCTAAGCTAAAATGTTATATTTATAAAGAAAATCAAAACGTTTGTAAATTTTGCTAGTTTATTATATATGAACACACATATAGTCTCACTTGTTGGAATTATAAAATATCACAATTATATAAGTAAAATAGGATTTTTACTAGTAATATCCTTTCGGAGCAGAAGATTAAAAGAAATATATGCAAAACTTATATTCAAAATAGACAATACGTTCTAACGCGGGTGAAAAATTTCCTATCCTAATAGTTATAAGATTCTATATGATAAAAAATTTAAAGATTAAAATAGAATTTAAATCTAGGCTAAATATACAAGATGATCCTGATTTATCTTTTAGTCAATTTTCAATTTGGTCATCAATCTTTTAAAATTATCAATTTGACCTTAAAATTCTCATTTAGTTCTTTCCCAAACAATTTGTTAAAATCTGTTAAAAAAAATAAATCGATAAATCATTAAATTATTGTTTTATTAACATTTTGGACACGTGAACATACCGTTTCAGATATTATTTAACACATAAAATACAACATGTCCACAAGCAAAATTAAAAAAAGAATCATTTTTTCCATTTGACAGGTCATGTGATGTATCAACGTATTTAAATATGTTAATAAAATAATAATTTATTGACATATTAGTGTTATATTGAAGGTAAAATTGAAAATTTTTACGAGGATCAAATTAAAAAAGAAAAAGAAAAACCTAACAAATTAGGGAACATGATGTATATTTAGCCTTAAATTCTATATTTTATTAACTTAAATTAGATGTTGGAGAAGAAATATTTGGCTTGCAGGGAAAGTCGAAATGGCCAAAGATTGTGCAGAAGTCATGGGGGGGTACAAGACAAGTAAGAGGAAAGAAGGAATTGAATGAAGAATTAGAATGGCATCTTTTCACATACTTTTCTAAGCTTTGAGTTTGCCTTTCTTTTTTCTTTTTCGTTATTTTTTTTTGGTTAAGAAAACTTAAAATAAAATACATTATCTTATAATGTCACAATCAACTCTTAAATGTGTACCAAAAATAAGTTCAC